CCTTTCTGATAGCATTGCTTGGTTCCTCCTTCTCTGACCAATTTGTGTCAGGACTGGAATATATTTACTGGGGAATGCCTCACATTGGATCCTATCTAGATTTCCTGGCTTACCATCAAACTATTTTCTTTCTACTTTTTCTTTAAAAAGCTGGAGAAGTGCTAACAGATACTGTTTTTTATTTTCTTTCATTTCTCTGAGTTTTAAAATTACATGTAATTGAATTGAATAGAATATTGTTTGTATATCTAAATGGGCCTGAATATTCAACAATGATTATGATAAGTTGATATCCTGAAATAAGTTGTTTTTTTGAGGAGATAAAAATGAAATTATGGGTCAGACTGGTCTCTTGAATCTGTTTGATTGCTATATTCAACAAAACAGACAACTGTGTTGGTCCAAATGTTTTTGTTTGTTTGTTGTTGTTGTTGTTATTGCTGCTGCTGTAACAAAATATCTGAGGTAAATACCTTGAAAAGAAGAAAGGTGCTGAGTGGGCAGCTGTAAACCACTTACTTCGAGAGCTGAGGGCAAAGCAGCCTGACCTGACTCCTGGACTGACTACCATTGGAGCCTCTGCTGATCAGAATGTTACTCTAGTGACACAACCTGTGGTTACCAAGGAAACTGCCATCTCCAAACTTGAAATGCCATCTTCCTTGCTGTTGGAGATACCTGCTCTGGCAGATTTCAACCAGGCTTGGGCAGAATTTACCAACTGGCTTTCTCTGCTTGATCCAGTTATAAAATCACAAAGGGTGATGGTGGGTGATCTCGAAGACATCAATGAGATGATCATCAAACAGAAGGCAACACTGCAGGATTTGGAACAGAGGCGCCTCCAATTGGAAGAACTCATTACTGCTGCCCAGAATTTGAAAAACAAAACCAGCAATCAAGAGGCTAGAACAGGGCGGGGAATTTAGCTCAGTGGTTCTGCCGCCTGCCTTGAAAACACAAGGACCGGAATTCGATCCCCGGTACCAAAAAAAAAAAAAAAAAAAGAGGCTAGAACAGTCATTACTGAATGAATTGAAAGAATTCAGAATCACTGGGATGAAGTCCAAGAACACCTTCAGAACCGGAGGCAACAGTTAAATGAAATGTTAAAGGATTCAACATAATGGCTGGAAGCTAAAGAAGAAGCTGAGCAGGTTATAGGGCAGGCCAGAGCCAAGGTTGAATCATGGAAGGATGATCCTTATGTGGTGGATTCAATCCAGAAGAAAATCATAGAAACCAAGCAGTTGGCCAAAGACCTCCGCCAGTGGTAGATAAATGTAGATGTGGCAAATGACTTGGCACTGAAACTTCTCCGGGATTATTCTGCAGATGACATCAGAAAGGTACACATGATAACAGAGAACATCAGTGCCTCTTAGGGAAACATCCATAAAAGAGTGAACGAGCAAGAGGCTGCTCTGGAAGGAACTCATAGATTACTGAAATAGTTCCCCCTGGATCTGGAGAAATTTCTGGCCTGGCTTACAGAAGCTGAAACAACTGCCAGCATCCTACAGGATGCTACCCATAAGGAACGGCTTCTAGGAGACTCCAAGGGAGTCAGAGAGCTAATGAAACAATGGCAAGTAAGTCAAGTGTTGCGCTTTAGCACTCTTACGAATCCAATTGAACGGTCCTCAGCCTTTGTACTTGTAATTGATAAACTGGGAGCAGAATAACCTCATTTTACACAGCCTGATATATTTCAGCATTTGGGCAAGGAGGAGAGAGGCAGAGGGAAAAAGAAGATTCATTTGTGATTTCATTTACTACCTTGATCTTCAGAAAAGTACATATTTTTGGGACACGCCAAAAAAAAAAAAAAACCTTGCAGATAAAATCAGAGCTTTGGTCAAGCAGAAACTTGGTTCACACTGAGAAATAAGTTATAGATGGGTTTATCAAATTGAAAAGGTTGCCATTTTGAATGTTTACTTACTATTTTACAGGGAAAGCATCTGTATGAATTGTCTGTTTTATTTAGTGTTGCTAACTGAATCAGTTTCCCTTCATTACTTTCAAATACGTTTTGAAATGTTAATCTGTCATTTTGTAGTTTTCTTCCTAACACGATCTGTGAAAATAAAAATGAGATGACTAAATTTGTCATAGTTAATGATCATACAATTTTCAGACAATTGTTTTTCCTAGAAACAAAAATTATTGCTAATAAAGTTCCATATGCATAAACAGTGAAAACAGAACGTTAGGATAATTTTGTATAAATGAAGTCTTGGTGAGAATCATATTCTTCAGTTAAAAGAGGCTCCTAAAGTTTCTATCTCAAAAACTCATGTATTTTTCCTGAGCTATTATGGGGTTTTGTTATGTATAACTAGTTTTTTAACATGATATAAGGACTTCGCTAGCATGGCAAATACAATTTGACATGGTAGAATACTATGATGAATTTTTGAACTAATGTTATTCTTTTCATATCTTTAAATTATTATGAAAAAAGTGATAGTATATCCCAGGTTGTAAAAGAATTCCAAAATCAAATTACAGCATGCAAAGTTTATTTCTCTCCCCTTCTTGTTGTTCTCCTCTACCTTTTGTTTGGTTTGATTTTGATGTATTTCATGCATTTTGCTGTTCTAATGTATAGAATAGGTAACAGTGGTAATTTATAGGGTGTTCTTGCTTTATCAGCCTGCTCTGACCCTACTTGCTCCTCCACAATGTGTGTTAATGTTAAATTTGTTTGATCCTTTGGAGGTAATTTGTTTAGAATAATACCTGACTTAGTCTTTGCAGATATCTCCTCTGGCTTGTTCTAGGATGTAAAAGCAATGCAAATTTAGATTATTATTTTTTGCTCACTCTCAGATGAATAGTTAGACAATGTACTGCTATAACATTGGCTTATGCTACTTCATAAATACAATTTTATTTCACCTTATAAATGCTCATACAGCCACCTTAGAATTCTAATAAATACATAGGTTCACATTTTTCCCATATCTGTGGTTGAGAATACAACTTTGATTAAATAAATTTTTCAGCAGATTACTTTGAAAATAAATAACCTAATTACTAAAAAATAATTTAATGTCAGGAACTTAATAAAATTTCTCTTAAAATAGTGAATACATGGTTGAGGGCAAGGATGTTCCTCTTATCTCAAATAATTTTTATTTATATATATAGCGCTATACAATAAAAATTGATGTATAAACTATTAATCCTGCAAGAGAAACTGCAAGATTCTGAATCACTAAAGGGAAAAAAAAAATGCCATGTTCTAACTATATTTACTGTGGATGAATGGAAAATAAGCTACATTTTATGGTTAGATTTCTCATCTCTCTCTTTCAAAAACAGTTGGAAGTTGTGCTGAGAAAATGCTTTAGCTTATACTATATTACTAAAAATATGTATATATTTTTCTCGATTGCTTAACCAAACCAAAATTTATCTGTTGCTCAATAAAGTCTAGTGTTGAACAGGCGAAAAAAAAAAAAAGAAGAAAGGTTTGTTTTGGCTTCTGATTTCGGAGATATCAAGTCCATGGTCACTTGGATCTCTTGCTTCTTTGCCTATGCTTATGGAAAGGCCACACATTTTAATGGAGCGCATATGAGTGAGCAAACTGACTCACCTCATGGCTGAGAGGAGGCAGAGAGAGAGGGAAGGAGAGAGGCCAGATATAAAATACACCTTTCAAAGGCATGCCCCCAGTGACCTGCTTTCTCCAGTTGAGCCCCATCTTCTACAATTCCTACAACCTCTCAGTAGTGCTACCAGCTCAAGATCATGCTGCTGGAGGACTTTCTAGTCTGAACTATACCAGTATTCCAGCTTGACTTTTCAATTTTTACCGGCTTTTATAATCCAGAAGTCCAGGGACTGTTTGGAATGCTTATTAAAGAAAGTAGTGATCTTGGAAGGAATCTATAGAAACACAGGAAATAGAGCAGAGTTATGTGGAGAATGCCCATCTTTTTGAAAGGACAAGGAGCAGGACAGAAGGGCTAATAATAGATGGAGAAAGATTACGGGGGAAACTGAGGGCAGTCCGAATTGAATTGTGGAACAAGAGAGTCATAATAATATTAATTCTTTCATAGAAACACTAATACAGATTGTAGGGGTTGGGTAAAGGGCAGTACTTTTTATATGAGTATATAAGGTGCCAAAACAGGTTTGTTTGCTTGTTTTGGTTCAGAGCCTTATGGTAACCTTCTGATTTATATATGTAAACTTAGGAAGGAGTATGACATAATTCAAGTTATTTTGATTTAGAACTATAAAAAGTCAGTTCTAACTCCCTGAAAATTTGGCAGTGTCTGAACATGTGTCAGTCGTTTCTTTTAAGAAAATACTTGAAGGGGCCAGGGATTTAGCTCAGTGGTTTCACCGCCTGCTGAGCAAGCGCAAGGACCCGAGTTCGATCCCCAGTACCAAAACAAACAAACAAACAAGAAACTACTTGAAGTTTTAATGCCAGTTTATCCTTTGCTTTCCCTTTTAAGTTTCAACTCATTCATATTTTATATTTTTACAGACCTAGATTGTAGATTGCATGGGAAATAATTCAAGCTTGGTCCTAGTCATGTTGGAGAGAGTGGGAATATGAATAAAACCTGTTTATAAGTGAAACTAATATGTGATTTTTAAATTCCTTTTACTTCCAGAATATAGATTCTTTTCAGTGTTGATTCTGATTAGTGTAGTAGATCCTAGATTTAGATTGGGGCATATAAAAATAAAATCTAATATGATGATGGCAAGCACTTATCTTAGGTCTTTTGAAGTGATCCTGGAATTTAAGTATTACGTGCACTGGTCTGACAGTCTGTCCTTATATGTGGCTAAGAAAACATGGTTGCTGTAAGTAGAAATAGTCTCTAAATATTAGCAGATTAAATGACACAAGGAGTTATATAGAATGATAACCACACGAATAAGAAGTCGCTGTTGTATTTGTTTATTATCTACTCAAGATTTATAATAAAACTGCATTTTATGACATTGCTTCCTTTCTGATACAGTGTTCAACTTGACCAACAATGTGGATTTGGAAAACACCAAAAAGAAAATGGAGATGTACCAGAAGGAAAACAAAGATGTCATTCAGAAAAATAAGTTAAAGCTGGTTGGTTGCAAAATATTTTCTTTTTCTTTTGTATTAGGAACAAATGCTTCACATTTTTTTTTTTTCTTTCACATATTTTAAAAAGCTGTCTTCCTTGAAAGCTGGTTAGAGTTACAGTGGCTGACATTTGGCCAGAAATACTTATATGTGTTCTATAGGCATGAAAAGGATGTACACATTACTGCAGATAAGATAATTTTGTCAGATTGTGTTTTATAAGGAAATGTATCCTTAAGCTGGGTGGTGGTTAATGTTGTTTTGTCTTTATAATTGTCTGGTAGGTATGCATTTGAGTATTGGTGACAAAATAATGGAAGCTCATTTTTACTCTTCACCCTTAACTTCTTTTTCATATGAAGTAGGAGATAGTGAAAGGGAGCCAGACAGACACTGATGGAGCTGCTAAGAGGGACATAAAGCAAAGACATCATTTACTAGAAACTAAAATGAATTCATGATTGAATCAGACAAATGTGTAAGCTAAGCTTCACTTTAGTTTCCCTTTTTTAAAATTATTTTTATTGGTACATTTTAGGTGTACAATATAATGACATTCATCATCGGAAATTTGCACCTTTACGTAATCTCTCTTGGTTCTTATTTTTCCCCCTTCCTCTGCCCTCCCTTCAACCTCTCCATCCCTCCTTGTTTAAAAAGACTTTGTTTCGATTTTTTCATTTTCTCATATTAATTCCATTCCCTTCTTTCCTTTCCCCTACCCCTCCCACTTCCCCTTCCCCTTTGCCCCTT